ATGCAAATCTGAATTACCCGTGAACTCGATTAGATTGCGATAAGACATTTACCAAGAATGAAGAACGTACAAAAATAAAAATCATGCTGTTTTTTTTTTTCAACCTAATGTTACTGGAAACAGTGATGACTCTTGCGGGAATACTGACTGAGTCGCTTCCTCTTACACGCTGAGACGCTGCTTGGAGTCTCGCACATGACCCTAAATGCTGAACTTTCTTTTTTTTTTTCTCACACACTGACACAGAACAGAAAAAGAAACTGATCGTTAATGAAGTGTTCTAAGTCACATCTGCTGGAAACAGAGAGTTTGATGTGCAGATTAAGTCTCTCCCAGAGGGTTTCATGAAGCGCACACACACAGAGTTAAGGTCGTTTTCTGAGTACTCATTTTACTTTGCGGTATTTTCCAGTAATGATACAAAGTACTTTCTAAGAAGAACAAACTTAAAATGGCTTATCATGTGTTATGTTTTTGTTCAAAATGACAGTCAGGACACAAGTAAAGAATACAACATCAATATTTACAGCATCTCGTGTACATTCAGTGTATCGCTTTAAACTTTTGCAGCATATTTGGGCTCATAAAAACTACACAACATAATACCTGGGTTTGTTAAAAGTGTAACAAGCTACAGTGCGTTTGTTTGTCACAAACTTTCGCTTCTCAGATTGAACTTCAGCATCCCCCCTATTCCTGCTGTTTGCATTAATGTGGGACAGTGTCCAGGACAGGCTGTAATCAGCACCCTGCAGCCTCCTTGGTTGCTCAGAAACCCCCGTAAGGATTCATCAAAAACGGGGTTTCCTTCGCTGTAGCCGTCCAGCAACAGCAGAACCTTGCTGGACTTGGTTAACGCAGTCCTCAGCTCCTCTGAAGACGTCTGCTCGGTGAGAGAGAGCTGAGTTCTTATCTCCTGATACAAGTCCTCCTTCACGGCGCTGCAGTTGACGTATAAGAGAAAACTGAGGACGCTGAGGTCGATGGGGTTGGATTGTGGCGGCTCTCCGGTCCAAGATGAGACCAGGATGTGAGCTACAGTCGTCTTCCCGCTTCCTGGAGATCCCTCAAGGAGAACTGTCTCACCAGGTTCTGGGAGTAAAGCCAGAGGATTCACAGGTTGGCCGTCACTGGAAGAAAAGAAGCAAAATTGTGTGTTTACACTTTGTCTGCGGTGGTGGTTTTAACCAAACAAGACTTTCATCCAGGAGCCTGGAGTTTAAGTCCTAAACCATGATTTTTTTTCTTCACTTTGCCACATTTCCAGCTGCTGTTTACTTTGGCTTTCTGTTGCTATTTTCTGTTGTTTTTTTAGTCAGTCCCTTTGGGTTATGCTCCAAATCTATTTGGTCAGGTTTCAGAAAAGATTATGGTTTGGGCTAACATACACCTGTGCTCACCGCACCGCTACAGCTGGAGGTTGTTAGGAGGAAGAGTCCTGCCACAAGAATAACCTCTTAGAAAAGCCCACAACTGTACAGCTTTTACTGTAAAACAAATGCGTTGTAAATGATTTACTGTGAGACTGGGCCGCCAAGTCAAACCAGTCTGTGGATCTGTAAGTCTATGACAGTCCTTCAGCTCAGCTCGATGAACTTTGGTTCCAGTTGTATGAATATAAAGCTGTGTTGAGAGTATAACCTCTGAGAAAATGAAGAATCCAATGTGGGAAAACTATTGTAGCTCTTTAGTTAAAGTCCAAATATTTAAGATAAACTTTATTGATGTACATGTTGCAGCAGCTGGATGCACATGAGATATGGAAGAAGGACAAGAATTACAAAAGTACAATAAGGCCCAGAATAAAGATATAAAGACCGTGTACAAGTCATGATGAAGGTAGCCCTTTGAAAGCAATGATGAATCTTATTTCAAGAATAGGAGGCTCACGATTGGCTTGTCATGCTAGAAAAAAAAATTCCAAACCCCTGCTTGTTATAAGGTTTAATTTGTGATTGTGTTTATCTTTTTGTTTTCTCTTATGCTACAGATTCAGCTGCTGAAAACAGTCCCTGATAGAAAGCATTGTTTCTGACAGGGAGCTTCATCCTAAACATCACCTGACGTACAGACTTCAGCCTCAGCAGCGTGTAAGCAGCAAATCTGTAAGTAACATAAGTTTAGACTGAAAAAGAAAAGCGTCTCTCCTTCTAACCCTGGTGTTCTGGCAGTTTTTCAATGTCCTAATGTTCTTTAATTGCCGTTACTGCACAGGTGGAGCAGAGTGAATGACGCAGACCAAAAACAGAACTCCCAGTCTGTATACTTGCCGTTTAGTGGATGGTTTATTTGATTATATGCAAAAAAAAATGAAAACACAGCAGTTTTCCTACTGTGAATTTGGTATATATCTGGTCTGATGAGAACCTCCCCCTACCTGTGCCCTCTGCATATACACCCTGTGTCCAAATAATCCATACTGAATTACCTGCCAACAATAAACATAAGTGGCTCCTACACTTTGCTTTTACACTCGGTTCAGTAATACGTATTCGTGACTCACTTGTTTTGCAGCCTCTGAGGAAGCTCCTCCGCACCGAAAGCGCCGCTGTGCGTCTCTTCGCTGAAGGAAAATTTAGAGTAATGTGCTTTCAGATGTAATCCCAGAGTTTCCTCTGTGTGGCCTGCAGACAACAAAAACAAAAAAACGTTCATTCAGTCGTTCGTTAAAGAGAAATCCAGAAACATGAGAAAATTCAGAACACCTGCATGGTATAATAAAGCTGAACAGGCTGATTATTTCACTGTAAATCCATTTTTTGTATGAATGTAGTTTGTTCAGAACATGACAAGTCTCTTCTGGATATCTGAAGGTTGGTGTTTAATATCTAACGGCATTATTGTATTAATTAGATTTTTAGTAAAACAGAAACAAAGCCCACAAGTCTGCATTCGCTGCAAGTACTACTAATAAGCACCTTTTAAAACCAGAGTTTGCAAAGTGCTCTATAAAAAGGCAAAAAGAAGAAGAAGAAGTATAACAAAGAGGTCCTGTTCAGCTAAACAGAAAGACCAGCGAAGGAAACGTAGAAGAAAACAGTTAACCGTGGTAAAAGATTTACCAAATAAATCACTACAGCAAACACTGATGGATGCAAATCAAGAAGTAAAAGCACCATAAATGCCACATCAATTCAGAAAAAGAACAAGCAGAGTAATAGGACATAGAGTTAAAACCATAAAAACTGCATTAAAGAAAGAATAAATAAGATGAAATTAAAAAATGAATTATCATGACTGATTTATTTCACACGTGACTTCTCAGAACCGTAAGAGTCACTCACCATCATTCATGTTATTTGTCCCGTCTTCATTTTCTTTGTCTATTTGTATGCCTGGTGGGAGGAAACAGCACAGTCAGAACATCTACAGAACAACTGAATCAGCCACAAATCAATGAGTAATTCAAACACCGCAGCTTAATTTAGGAATGCATCGTCAGCGTTTTGACTCAGATCAATAGAAAACTATCTGCTGCAGAACATCTTTTGTCCTCAGAGTTCCTACTTTGGGTATTTGCAGTGTTTTTTTTTTGAAGATTCAGCAGTAAAACAAAAAGTGTCTCAACTCACAGGTAGAAGCAGACTTGTCCCGACTGTCCACCAGAAGGTTCCTGGTGCTCCGAGTGCTGTGAGCTCTGGACCCTGTCGGAAAACATTTCTCATTATTTACCGTCTAGAACATCTCAGTGTGTACAGTCGTCCTCAAATGTATTCATACCCTCCCATTAAAGAAGGAAAAAAACAGCTTCAATCACTGAAATAAGTTGAAATTGACAAAAGTAATAATAAATAAAAATGTAATGAACATCATGACGTCGCTTTTGAATGGTGGTTCAACAGAAACATATAGATAAAAAACAAAAACAAGCATGATGGGAAATGTAAACTAATATTTTGTTGAACAACCCTTTGAGCCAATCAGGTGTTTTCTGTAACTCTCAGTCACACTTCTGCACCTACTGACAGTTATTCTGCCTCATCAGCAAAGTGCTCTAATTTGGAGAGTTTTTAGTTTTTTTAAATTATCCTTTTCAACCACAATTCAAAAGCAACACATTATTTCACTGAATTATAATTTATCAAATTTTTATTTATTATTACTTTTTTCAGTTTCTAGTTATTTGAGGGACTTTTGTGAATTTTGCTTTTTCTTTAATGGAAGGGGATGAATACATTTGACATGGGCGGATGGAGGCATGTGGTTTGTTTGGCACTGGATACAAACGGGTTCTGATTTTAAAACAAATCATTCATTAATAAAAAATTCTATTAAAATTGGACACATCTTTGTTTTTCAAGCATATTTTGAGTGAACTATATTTCTACATGTTTGAAAGGGTGAAATTTACAGTATAATATTTTAAATTTCTCACGGTTTTCAAATATTCTATTAAAAGATTTCTTACCACATACTATATAATCATTTTCTCATATACAGTCGTAAATTTCCTTCTCCCCCAGGGTGCTGCTATGAAGGTTCTGCTTTCACTTTAAAAGGTCGACCAGATGTTTCGGGACCCATAACTGAAGGATGATTTCTTATCATGTTCACACATTCATATGTGAAATAATGCGTAATATGTCTACTCTGAAATGATGCAGGTGTTTATTTGGATGACAGCCCAAACGGGCGCGTGCTCAAAAAACCACCCGTGCATTGACAAATAGCCTAAATTCCCCTGTGCACGCAAACCAAAACCAAACTTGGGTGTTTCCACCCACAGTGAGTCTGGTGGCTGACACACATTTGAAGTGTGAAAAAGCTTAGTCATGTTCGCATGAAAAACACAGAAAGTCACAAGTTGATATAAAAAAAATTTCCATCAGGATTTGAAAATGACAAACAATGTGGCACCAATAATTTAAAAAAAACACACGTGTGTGTAAATGTTCAGCACTTCCTGTTTTCTGTGGTAGCGTCACTTAACATGTGTCAGTCATATGGGAGGCTGAGGGCACAGAGATTAAACCTGACTGGGCATGAATTCCTCTGGCCATTTGAAAAAAAGGTGGGAATTATGACAGATGTTTAGTCAGGAGGGCCGCTGGTGACTCGTGTACAGGGGCTGTAGTCTCTGATGCAGCGGCCATGGGTTCGAATCCCGCTCGTGACCCTTTGCTGCAACCCCTTCCCTCACTTTCCTGTCTCTCTTTCAACTGTCCTATCTAATAAAAAGGCCCAAAAAATAACTTTAAAAAAGTGTTTAGTCAGCAAAAGTAAAATAAAAACAGGTTTCAAACTAAAGAAGAAGCCCAACCATTGACCTCTACGGTGAAGCCATCTTCCGGCTCTGTTATGCCGTTTGGGGCATTTTTACAGCCCAAATAATCACTGCAAATGAATACAGAGTGGTTCTGGGGCATCACTTTTATCCTGGGATGAAACCTTTTGATGGGAATGGTCAGTGCTGTAACTCATCAGACACGACCGGCTCACTGAATGAGTGTGAAAATGATGTTAATCGTATGTTTTGGCCTCCACGGTCGCCAGATTTTAACACATTCGGACACTAAAACGAGGTCACTCCTCTGTAGCTCTGGTCAAAACATGGACTTAAATGGGCTTTGACTTGCAGTAAGACAAAATCGCCCCTCCTATTTCCTGTAAATATTTGGTCAGACTACATGATAAAGGGAAATCCAGCCCAGCAGTGACCCCCGACACACATCCTGCACACTAACAAATCAGGCCGTCTTGCTGCAGACTGAGTGTAGAGTTGGCCAGGGAGATTTTTCCTCCACTTAATCTTTAGCCTCTGTGACTACTTTCCCTCCTTGTTTGTTCCCTTTAGCCACTTCAACATCTTATCTCAGCTCTGTGTGGAGATGTGTTTTACGATGTGTGAACAGTCTCGTATACCAGTGCCAAACAAACTCCAAAAGTACCTGACATGTGACGATTCAGATTTGATTATTTTACCAGCAGTTTATGAACAAAGTCTTTAGTTACCTTTATTTTTTTTTCGCCGTCTGTAAGCGAGCACGCCGACGACAACGACCCCCACGATCACCAGCATGCTCACTGTAACGATGACGGCATCATTTTTTGAGCGAGGAATTTCTTCTGCAGAAAACAAAAGAGCGAAAACACAGAAAAATCAGTGTTAGCGTGCAGCCACAACAATGCCAAGACAGATGTTTTGTGTTGTAATGCCAATAGTCTGAATAATTTTAGCCACTTAGCCACTGAGGAAATAACCAAATATACCCAAGGCAGGCTGCTGCGAACTTCCCCCTTGTTACTCAAGAATTTAAATAACCATCGCTATTTAAATAGCTCGTGTTTATGTAATAGTTTTATGGTCGACTGTGCACGCAACCCTGTCTGCTTTTGCTTTTTGTTCTGGTTGTTGTTGCACCTAAAGCACCTTTTTTTTTTAGCATTTAAACAAACACCGCAGATGCAGAGCTGTAAGTATTTAGTCTTTTAAAATCCAAACTTATTTATACATAAGAGTTAATAATCCTTATTATATGAATAAACCCATCCATCCATCCATTATCTATACTTAATCCTCACTAGGGTCATGGGGGGCTGGAGTCTATCCAAGCGGACACCTGGACAGGCCACCAGTCTATCACAGGGCTACACTTAGAGACAGACAACCAAGCATTCACACCTATGGACAATTTGGAATCACCAATTAACCTCAGCATGTTTTTGGACCTTGTGGGAGGAAGAACCCAAAGACGCTGCACAGGGAGAACATGCAAACCCCACGTAGAAAGATCCTCACCGGGTCGTGAACCGGTGACCTTCTAGCTGCGAGGCGATGGTGCTAACCACCGATCCACCATCGCAGCCCTGAATGAAACCATAAACAGTCTGAATACTCTAACGAAGAGGCGACACATTTCCCGACAAAACCTGTTGCTGCAACGATCCTACATGCTGCTGATGTGTTCAAACACCTCCTACAGCTTCACTGAAAACCTGGGGGAAGCATAGAACTGTGGAAAAATCGTGGGCAAGCGATAACATCTCAATATCTCTGCTGTTTGTGTGAATGTATTCGACGTGGGCTGACAGGAAAGGAAGCTCTGAACATGTCATAGTTTCTCGACTACAGCTTTAGGTCTTTCAAGTCTATTCAGTTTTCTGTCTGTGGTTGATAAAGAATGGGGAGCTTAACGTGGGTGGACAGCAGAAAAAGTCATAAGTGACGCAAAAGCAGAGAAATGTGCTTGATGTCTGTGTTTCTCTTTTGATTCTTTTGTCTTTAAGCAGGATGTGGTGGATGACAACATGCAATAAAGTCTCAGCCTAAGGATGTTGTCATGAGAGAACAGAATCTGATCTTTAACAGAAACAAACTATACCTGGGATGTGAAATGTTGCAGAGGAGCCATCCTTTACGACGTTACACGTGTAGCTGTTCTTCTCTGAGGAGCTGACTCGTATCTGGCTGGTGATTCTAAAGAGCTCCTCTGGCGTCACAGATGCCGAGGCGTTGCTGGGGTTGTGTGTCTGCCCGTGTACATCCTGCCACACGACGGAGGACTGAGGGAATCCCTCCGACTGGCAGGTCAACACCACCTCATCGCCCTCTGCGGCCTCCTCGACGTGCTTGGTGACCGACTTGTAAGATGCTGCAGGAGAATCAGATAGCGGGAACTTGTTGTTGGAGGTATGACAAGACTTGGCAAAGTCTCAGATAATTGCTTAAGAAGGTCAGAAACTCTATCCAAAATTGAGTAATACTGCTCCTACTTTCGTTTTCAGAGTGAGATCCAGTAATATCCCCAACCCCCACCTTCCCAGAACCAGACCCTCTGGTCATCTAATAAAAAAACCTCAAAAGTGAAACAGTTCTTACCTCCAACAGACAAGCTTATGCTTTTATAATCAGCTCCTTCTCCCGTGTGAACCAGGCATCGGTAGACGCCCGAGTCGTTTATCCTGAGCCTGGACATCTGGAAAGTGGTGAAAGAGGAGAAATTATTAAAGATCTACAAGTTTAAATCAAGCAAAAATCATACGAATACTACAAAAATGTCCATTTGTGGATAATTCTCCCATCAGTGAAGCTTCTATCAATCACAGTTACAGCCACTGATGCACCAAATCTCGTCACAGAAGTCAGATTTGAACACATCTCAGTCCACATGTTGATCTGTTTCAAGCACACACTGATGCTTTCTGTCCCTTCCCATCCTTTAGTGTTTAATAGTACAGAGACTTTAAATACTGTACTTTTAAATAAGCAAGAAAAGCTCCCGTAAAGAACCTGATGCCACCTTCGACTCAGTTCTACAAAAAGCCCCCTTCGCCCCACAGACGCTAGCAGCCTGTGCTGACCTCCAGCTTGGCCCAGCCGTTCTGCAGCTCGTCGGTCAGCAGCCTCACTCGGCCTTGGTACTTCTGGGATGTGGCGTGCTCCACCCCGTTATCGATCCGGATCACCTCCTGGACCGAGTTGGGGGCGGTCCTGTGCCACGTCACCTTCAGGTCGGACCGAAGATCTGCCGGTTTGGGAGAAAACCTGCAGCCCATCACCACGGTTCCCCCAAACTCCGACGTGTACTGGGTTTGTTCTGCATCCACCGTGAACAAGACTGCAGGGGAAGGTGACGCCATCATCAGTGTAAATCTGCACGAAGGCCTCGAAACATTTGCTCAGAATTTTTCATCAGTGCGACTCGGAACCCACCTGACAGAGAGGGCTGGAATAAGACTTGCAGAACTACAACAAGGGCCCAGTCCATTGAGACCTGAGGAGGAAACAAGTTTTTGTTTGCAGATGTTGAAATGTTTTTTTGCCATAACTTGCAAGCGTGAGTCATTTTTCTGAAGAAGGCCAGATGTCAAGTCAAGTGTTTCTTCTGCACTTTGTTAGCAACAAACCTGAGATCAGCTGAAGAGGGCATCACATGAAGGTGAGGCTCTTGTGATTATTCCTCAACTCAGCATGACTCAGATGTTTTTACAAAGAAAATTACTTCCCTGTTCAAGTCTTTTTGATCGCGGCTGAAAACTAGCACGAGGAAGTTTGTTTTATTTTGAGCAGGGCCAACACACACACACACACACACACACACACACACACACACACACACACACACACAGACTAACACATGGGATTTTCACATTGTAAACACGTTTCATTTGCGTTTGCACACTGGGCTTCTCTGGAAAACACACGTGAAGATAATTGACATTATCTTGATTTCGTCTGAATGTGTTTGCTGAGTGATCTGCTGTGTGATAAGCACACCATGAGTCCTTTCCTGTGAAATGCAAACGACTGCTGCAGAATATTGATTTATCCGAGGCATCTGACTCTGTGGACCACACCGTCTTAATTAATAGGCTTCAAGATTATTGGCTTGAGTCTCAATTCGGTTAATTGCTTTGTAAATTATCTGTCTGACAGGTCCCCAGACAGCCCTTGCCGATGGGCAGAGGTCATCAATTGCCCACGGTGTGCCCCAAGGCTCCATTCTGGGGCCCATCTTGTTCACTATCTATACCAACAACATTGGCAGAGATAGAATAGGTTCTGATTCTTCTAGCTTTTCATCTGAGTTCAGAAATCGACGGGCAAGACACTGAACAGTAACAAAACAATTCTTTTAGACATCTGTGTTTTGTGAGCTCGTGTCTTAAATGTGTTTATATGTGTTTTATTTTTATTGTTGGAGCCTCGTCATAGGAGACAGACAAAGTTTATCTATCTATCTATCTATCTATCTATCTATCTATCTATCTATCTATCTATCTATCTATCTATTGATGTTAGTAGAACAGGTTAGACGCAGATTAGATAAAAGAAAGGTTTAGTTTAATATACAGAGGAAGATAACTGTGCTGGTGTTCATTCTAGTTGGATAAATAGCAAAATTAAATTTTTAAAATAAAAAAGAGCTGTATAAGCATAAAAAAAATACAAGATAGATAGATAAATAAATGATAAACTTTTACTAACAGTGCTAATAACATAGCCACAATAATAAAGTTTTCATCCCTATAATAACAGTTATTATTGTTGATATTATTATTATCAGGACCACTACTAAAAAATAATAATAACAATAATGATGATAATGTATAATTCAGTGTGGTTTAAATTAGGCTATAAAGTTGTGCAAACCTGAAATTAATTTCAGGTAACAGTGAAGAAATAATTCAGATGCTCCTACCTTCATTTATACAGCAGTTGGTTGGTTTGTCATGAGCTGTTTCCTTTTCCTCCAGGCTCACAGACTGACATGGTTTTAAAGGAGGACGTGGTAGCACTATTCAGCCACACCCACACTGTTTTCTGGCCCACTTAGAACGCTGTTACGTCATTTCCAACTACACACCATAAAAGAAACCCCATTCAGGGATTTTGTGCCTCCAGCTGCATCACTGAGAACTGCAGCTTATCTATCAATGATTGAACTCAAACGTGTCCCTGAAACGTTTCCTCATGCTGTAAAGCAGAAATCTCCGTCCTTCATCACCGTGGAGTTTCTAAACAGTGAAGCCTCAAAGTTTACGAGTGTTTTGAACAGGAAATGGGGTGTGAGCTGCTTCCAGTCAGGAAAGAGAGAGTCGCTTACAGGCTGTTACTGGCAGCTCAGGTCCATATGGAGATAAGCAGAGTCAGCAGGAGCCCCCCACCATGATTCACACTGAAATCACTAGACTGGGATTACTGGGACAACATCTTGA